CTGTATGAATTGCAAAACAAGGCCTGTGGTTATAATTTATTGTTTATTGGACTCCTAATAGCATGTTAGATTTTCCTAAAAATAAAAACAACAACAACACACACACAACAAAATTCTTAGGCATTCTTGGATAGGATGATGCCATAAATACATGCAGGGATAGTGCAGATACCTCAATAGTATCTTGTGACGAGAATTAGGAAGGATTGGCTCGCTACGGGAGGTCTAGGCTAACTGAAACGCCAGCCTCATCTTCAGGTCTCTTATGGGGACTTTAGGTCATCCGGGCAGTGGGGGCATTAATCTTACCTGTGTGCTCCTAAGGTATTGATTTTCTAGGAGAATTTCATGGGAATCTTAGCCTCTATCCAGGCCCTCTATCTAGGGAACCCCAGTAAGATGTTGGAGAGAAGAAACAGGACTCACTTGGCTGCTGCTCACAGATTCTGGCGGTTGGGGTCACTCTGAAGTCAGTGAGGCAATTTTTCTGTATAGTCAAAGTCCAGGCAAGCCCTTTCCAACTCTGCCCCACCCACTGCATAGCTGGCTTCCCGTTTGTGCCTGCGTGTGCACACACCTCTACCGCACCGACGTGTACAGTGACTGAGGCACCAGCGTCAGGGCATTCAGACCTGCTTCTGACAGCTGGGGGTTAGTTGTTAGGAGATGGCCTCGGCAATCAGCCAGCAGCATGCAGTGACCTTGTCCCTTTCCTTCCTCTCCCTGGAACATCAGGCTGTTCTGTAGACATCCGGGGTCCAGTGAGCGTCTTTTCCCTGCATCACTGGCTACAGGCTTGCGAAGAGAAGTGAACAAAGACGGTCCCCAGGACCTCAGAAAGAATGCCCGGTATCTTCTTCCTCTCCCCTTTCATCCTGTCACTTCTATGACAGTATCTTTATTGTGTAAAGCTAGTTCTAAAACAGGAACACCCAGGCTTCTTTGTTCATCAGGAGAACAAAATCCCTGAATGATTTAGACAAAGAATCCTCCCCTATTTGCACTCTGAAGCTGTGCTATTTAAACATCACGTTGAAAATAAATTCAAACAAGCCAGCCTTATTGTAGAAAATGTCCTTGCGTGCACATTCTTGGGTGTGGGAAGGAGTGTCTTTGTAATTTGGCTTAATTTAAGAAAAAAAAAATGCAGTTGACTATTTTTAAGCATAACTAACTCAAACTCATAAAACAAAGGGAAACTCAGTGCTGAGCCTGGAATGTGTATTGGCCTGCATCCCCCAACCTTCCCTTCAGTTTGCGTGGTGGCGTGGGATACGGTTGTTTAATCAGCTGCCAGTGAAGTTTGGAATGTCAGCTTGGTAGCTCAGCCTCAACCTCAAACACTCATGCAGTGTTTGTCGCTCTATTCTTATAGAGCCACAGCCCGTTTTCATCTGGTAAAGTCATGCGATGGGTCAGATACCCTAATTGAGTGTGAGGATTGAAGAAAAAAGTGGTGGAGGAAAATACCAGAAAGTGAGAAAAGTTGACTGTTCGTTGAACTCCTGGGATTTGGGACAATTCGGAAACAGTATTTGTGAAGACACAGCTGCTTAAACCATAGTTATACACCAGTTAGGTCTAATGAAAGTTTTATTCTGTTTGTAATTTTGATTGAGCTTTTAAAGGTGAAGCGATTGCATACACATTTGGGTGAAACTTACATTTCCTGAGTAGGTCCTGGTACTCTCGACAGCCTCCTGGTGGAATTTCAGAGGGAAACGCACACGGAATAAGAAAGCTTTATGGCCTGGGCATGGCAGGAAATCCTTTGTAGTGACTGTATTAAATGTGGTAGCAAACTAAGTATTTCTCAGTACTCTTGTGTTGATCAGTTGGGAGAGGAGGATGTGGTGGTAGCTACTTTAAACATTGGCCATTCTGAAAGTGTGTGTAAAATCACTGAATCTCTAACGGTCCTTTCCATGTAATGTAATACATTTCAGTTCACACCTTCTCTGCTCACTCACTCTAAACTATTCAGTTCAGTTTAAAAATAACTCTGCAGCTGTCCTCGTGGAGTTATGGGTAGATGTTAAAACACCACCAGGAACAACTTTCAAGTACGGTACTTAGAGCCTCACTTGATCAGAGAATAGGAGCAGCAAGTGTAACACTCACCTCTCAAAAGTAAGGAGCGACTTTGGAAATCTCCACCTGTCACAGTCCAGTGTAAACCTAAAGAGCCTCATTTATATCTCAGGTGTTTATGTTTAATAAGCTTGAAGGTATTGACATTTCCTGGTTATTCAGTTTCATTGTGAGAATTAGAAAAGGTTTTTTAGTTCATAGTTTGAGGGTGTTTTTTTTTTTAATCACAATTAGTTATTTATCACAATAGGGTACCATCAAAATCCAACATTTGAAAATAAAATTGCATGATTCTATAAACTTATAAAATTTATGACATAAGAATATACAAGGTATCCCCAAAAATGTACATACACTTTAACAGCTGATAGTTCAACTTTGAAAATGAAATGTATTTTAATAAACACTGCCTTTGTAATTATTCAAATTGTGCGTATACATTTTTGGGGACACCCTGGATATCAGTAGTTTCTAGCAGTTATTCAGCCTTTTCAAAAATATTCATGTAACTTTATTGACTTGTGTGTTAGAATGTTTCTTTGAATGTTGGCTACACCAGAATTCCTGTTTAGGGTGTTTCAAGCCCACTTCATATTATTTTGCTTTTCTCTTGATTCTTTTAAATTATCAGCACATTTTTAGATATATGAAGTAATTAAAAGTTTTTCTCTTATGCCAAAATGTTTGTTAGATAAACAGTGAATTGGAAGATTGCACACTTGAAAAAAACGAGAACCTTTCAGAAAAGCTTAAACCCGGACTCATTTCCCAAAATGGCAAAGTGAGCCTGAGTCTTCAGGAAGGTGCTGCCGCTTCAGGAGCTCTTCTGCGCCGCACACCTTGATGTAGCTCTGGGGGTTAGCAATGCTGGGCACGTTGCTTTTCTGCAGTCTCTTCTGAGTGTTAGGAGTTGAGCTGTAGTAGAATCTACGTTAACAAAAAAAATGTCTAAGTGATTTTTGAAGGCTGGCTGGCAACATTCGTACCTTTCGGAGGTTGTCCAACATCATGTGCCTTCAAAGTCAGCAAGTCGGCTCTTAAATTCCTGTCGAAGGCACCTGTGTTAGCCTAGGCCTTTGAAACTTTAGAGGGTATGAAGGTCAGAGGAAAACTCATCCATTTCCCACTTGTCTCACATGACTTAGTAAAGGAAGAGAATTTAAGAGCTTAAAACAATGTCTTATGGAGTCTTTTCTTTCTTAAAATCAGAAAGCTCAGCTTAGTGTCTAGTTTAGAAGTCCCTTTCTTATTTTTCGTGAATGTGTGCAATTTTTGCACAGTTCATGCCACTCCTTCTGTATCATTGACTCCTGGACAGATAAAACAGAGTTAGACTTTTTATTTCTTAAATATGTTTTTATTGATATTTTTTTTTAGAGAAAGAGAAAGGGAGAGAGAGATAGAAACATCCATGAGAGAGAACGTTGGTCGGCTGCCTCCTACTGGGGATCAAGCCTGAAACCCAGGCATGTGCCCTGACTGGGAATCAAACCAGGGACCTCTTGGCGCATGGGACGGCATTTAACCACTGAGTCACACCGGCCGGGCCAGAGTTAGACATTTTAAGTAGAACATCCTACGTGTCAGCTACATCAGTCATTTAGAACTTCAGATGGAGAGTTTAACATGTCAGCAAAATTAATTTATTCTGGATTTTTAGGTGACTCCTAAGAATCTGAGCTCCTTTGCCTGAAAGGAAATGTGTATCAGCAGAGGTCCGAGGGGCACTGCATGGAGAGTGTTAACGTTACCCTAACTGCTTAGACTCCTTATGTGGAAAAAAACACAAGTGAAGTGGCCAAAGATCACTGAAGAAAAAGTGGGCATGCCCAGCTTTGAACCTCAAATCAAGTGAGAAAGCCTCCCGGAGGAGAAATGTATGTCCCTGGCCATGCTCCTCATTTTAGAGGGAATGTACTGTGTTGGATAAGGAAGAAAGAAGTTGTAGGACTCCTACTGTTCAAAATATTTCAATGACAGCCACAGCAAAAGAATATAGTGTAGGGGCCAGGACAGCCGTTAAGGTATTGTGTTTGCAGCTTCATGCGGATGCACTGAGAGCCCTAGGTGTGGAGATGGGCCTGGCGGGCTCTGAAGTCCTCCGATCAGAGTGGGTCCCAGGCTACATGGAGGTGTGACTTTGAGCCTCCCTCCTGTACCCTCATCTCCAGATCTTCTGCCTGAGCCTCTCTCATTGTGATGCCACATTAAACCCTCAAAACCCAGCACCCACGCATGTGATTCTTCATTCTGATCTCCCCTCCCTGCCCCCACTCCATGCCCCGTGAATAGAACAGATTCTTTTCCTGAGCTCTGATGAAAGCTTACCTATATTGACATGTTTTCCCCAGTCCTTCCTGTATGCTAGCTGTTCTTTTCTGTGCCACGGTGTGACTGCGATGGCATTTCATTAGACGATTACTGAAAATATCATGCTATCACCTAATGGCGCATAATCGAATATTTCTGGTAGAAGATATAGTTGGGCTAGCAACTCCCTAGGGATGGGGAGTGAAAGAGAATAGGGATTAATTCCTGTGTCCTTCCATTTATACTCACTAAATGGCCTCTCTTATTCCTGCTTACTGGGAGAACTTCCTGAGAGACTTGACTCAGGGTGGCCCCCTTGTGGTGGATAGGCGTTCCCAAGGCTCTTTTCTAGAATAAAATGCAGTGGAAGAACAGTCCCCGTATTATTTACATTTTGTTGTCAACATTGTCCACATCTCTCAAGTCAAGCATCTGGAAATAATATAATGAGATGCTAAAAACACATTTGAAAACCCTTTATAAAAACTCTAGTTTTAAATAGCCCACATTTCTAAAATGTTTTATTTCTTCAGAATACACATCAGTTCTTAAAAAGAACACAGTTTTGAAACTGTTTCTTTTGAATATTTCTGTCATCTGGAAATTCCTGAACATAGCCCCGTGGCAGATCGGCTTGACTAAGAAAACCTGTTGACGTGTCACCAGCCCTCAGCCAGTATCTCATGATTCCCGGGGAAAAGCACCCGGCACTGGGACAATAGCACATTAGCTGAAAAACAGCATCTAAATATGTAGCTTCCATGGGTAACAACTGCTCTGTGTGTGACTCTCAGAATTTCATAACCCAAACCAGATTCTTGAAAGGATCAAATTTATACTACTTTTTATAGCACAGAGTCTACCCCCTGCCATTCTAGAACTCAAAATGACACAGGACAAACTAGACAGAATCAGGTGTGGAACTTTATAGAAACTAAGAAACCCAGTCCTCACCCTTGGATGGTCTCATTCAGAAAGTCAGGGGGAAAGTGACAGCTTCAGTGACTTTCAAAATAATTCCGAGGGACTGTGGTGTGCTGCAGAGGCTGGGAGGAATGCTAAACGGTGGGCCCCTTGGGGGAATGCTATGGGACCACCGGGGGAGGCTCTCCACGTTAGTTTATGGACTGATTTCAAGACAGTGAGCTACCCAGGATGTGGGCGGTCACGCTACAGGTCGTACTCGGGGATCTTCTGAGTGGACCGACCTTGAGGGCAAGGACCTGTCTTCTTCCAGTCCTCAGGATCTAACAATACCTGGCACAGAGTTGATGCTTACAGATATTTATTAACTGTAATGTTCATTGCAGTGCCAAAGACCTCCCCTTAGAAATGGAGGATAATTTAAGATTCTAGAGAGTTCTAAACACCTGAGACCATGTGCCTTAAAGTACTTGGAAAGTTGCAAAGGAGCAACATGATTCTAGAACAGTGATGGCGAACCTTTTGAGCTCGGTGTGTCAGCATTTTGAAAAACCCTAACTTAACTCTGGTGCCATGTCACATATAGAAATTTTTTTATATTTGAACCATAGTAAAACAAAGACATATTTTTTGATATTTATTTTATATATTTAAATGCCATTTAACAAAGAAAAATCAACCAAACAAATGAGTTCGTGTGTCAGAGGTTCGCCATCACTGTTCTAGAAGGAAGGATTATTTTAAGTGCATCACGTATAGCAGCCTCTAAATTTTAATATTCATAAAAATGAGTCCAGTTTTTCCAAGTCCTCACTTTTCTATTTTTTCTATCTCCTGGCTGGTGAAAATAGAAATATGATAGCCCTTTTTCTGCTAAACATGTTTAAAAAGTATAGGAAAAGGGGACTGAACAACTATGCAAGCAAGAAGTCAGAAGCCAGCCAGTCTTACACCCAGCTAGGGTTGTCATCATAAAAAGATTAAACAAGTTATTGCTTTGTGATGCATCAAGATCATCCTGCAGACAAAAACCTAGAAAGTAAGTGTGGACTGGCATGCCAAAGGCAAAATTGTGTTTGTTTTTTTATCCCCAGATTCTTTCCAACCACTGAGTGAAAGTCCTCTTGTTCTTGTGTTTTGACCTAGGATTTACATGATCTAAGGACACAAGCCTCTTTCAGTAAGTAGTCCTCGAGATAAATACTCTGCTCTGTGACTCCTGTGTTACACTTGGGAGCTGGAGTCCCGCCTTCCTCGTTTGGACTAATAGGAAAGCTGAATTTAAAATTTGACAAAGCCAGAAACCAACCTCCCACCCCCAAACTCTTCTCCCTGGCTTCTGCTCCCTTCCCTTGAATGCCTTGGAATTGCAAACGCCAAGGCATCCACCGGGAAGAAGACCTGGATTCTGTTCCTGGCATGGCTAGTAGATGGCTCTCTGACCTTGAGCAAATGACTCAACAACAGGGCCACTTTCCTGGGCTGTAAAGCGAGAAGGTTGACTAGATGATTCCAGAGGTCTTTCTGGCTGTAAAGTTGTCAGTCTGGAAATACCTGCTAGCGACATGGGTGCGCTCAGTGCTCCTCTGCCACTCTTTTCGGAATGTTCTAGTCTGTGGCTTTCTATCGTACTCATATCAATCTCTTCAAATCCTTTCTAGGCTTTTCTGGTTTGTGTCTCGACAGCAGCTTCGGTTTCTACATTTACTTTACATTGAGTACTACACACACTTCTTAAATATTTGTAAGGAATCGGAATAGGAGTAGTCTATTTGATGTGAATGATTTCTCCAAATTCTTTGCAATACCTAGAGCAATGATTTGGATCAATTTTATATTGGAAGGTTTAAATATTTAAATGGTTTAAAGTTAGCCTGGATTATACAACAAATTGCATTTTTTCCCAAACGGTTTTCAGCCATTCGGTCACCGGCTTGAAAGTGTCCAGCACTTCATAATGTCTGAGTAGCACTGCAGGGCTGAGTGCACCAGCATCAGTCTTTAAATCCAGCAATTTCATGTACATGGCAGCAAAAACTTTTCCTTACAGCAAAGTTTTTAGTGGAAAGGTTAAAAAGAAACCTGTGCTGAATATGTATTGCCTACATACGCTATCACCTGTGTTATTTGTTTCTTTTGAGTATGAAACATGGAGATTTTAGCTAATACACATGAAAAGTTATAACAGAGGGTTGGTTGATACTGTAAGAAGTGATGGACTTGGCATGAAATTGTTGTCAAAGTCTTTTCTTAGTTTTTTATTGTATATGTAATTTAAGTTCAGCTTTACCATGACAAGAAGCAGATGAAGCACCTGCAATAAATAATTACTGGTACATCCATGAGAAGGGGCATTGACATAGGTACTATTGAGTGATAGTATGGAGTGTATAGGCAATGTAATTTCTTCTATAACTTAACCACATATTATCTGAAATTCTCTTTCTATTGAATTTATTGGGGTGAATTAGTTAACAAAATTATACAGGTTTTAGGTACACAAATCTACAACACATCATCTGTATGCTATATTGTGCGTTCACTACCCCAAGTCAAGTCTCCAGCCATCATCATTTATCCCCCTATCCCCTCCTCCCCCAACTCCTCCCA